GTTAATCCATTACAATATTTTCAATTTTTATATTTAAGATCCAATTTATAAATTATCGCTGTCCTCTCTTTTTTTCTTTTTCTTTTTTTGCACAAATTGTTCTGGTGAAATGTGCCAGACAAACTTAGTCACAAGATTATAAAGAGAACTAATTGCTGGTCTGAGTTCTTTCCCACATGGACAGGGAGTTACCTTTTAAAACTGCATGACCTGCAATTTGTCTAAGCTGACAGTCCCTCTGAGGAGAGCATTGCTAATGTGAGCGTTGAACACGAAGCCACACAGCCAGAGTCTATACGCTCAGCTAAACTTTCAGAAATGTGGGTTTCTTCATTACTTTTCAATATCTTGCAACCCATTATTATGAGATAAAACTATTTTCGAAAAGTGTGAAAACTTACTTGCATCACACTCGCATTTTACCAACATTCTCTTTAAAGGAACAATATGCCACACCAGTCTCGCTGCAACTGGCCTCGCCTCCAGGGCTGAGATCATCAACCTTGATGATCCCAGCCAATCAAATGCTTATCCGTAGAAAGCACTGAGAGTTTATTGTGCATGCTCGGCAAAACGCTGCGATGCGCCAATCAGCATTTCCTAATAGAGATGCATTGAATCAATGCATCTCTATAGGCAGCGTTTAATATCTCTGTGCAGAGTGTGGAGATACTAAATGCAAGTGCTGCACACTGTGCAGCACTGACGCATGTAGCACCTCTAGTGGCCGTCTGAGTGACCATCTGAGTGACTGCCACTAGAGGTGTTCCTAGGCTGTAATGTAAACACTGCTTTTTCTCTGAAAAGCCTGTAAGGACAGGCTAAAGACACCAGAACCACTACATTACATCAAATGGCATTAAAATGAAAACCAAATTAAATAATGTTGGATAAACCAGCGAAACAGCTGCGCCTATAGTTTGAGATTTTTTCCAAATGAGCTGTTTTTGCATACATTTCATTACATTTCAGACTTAGATTCTCTATAATTGTGGCAGAACCAGCCTCACCACTGGGCATTGGAGAAGACTGATTGCCAGCCTCCTGCCCTGTGACAATGGCCCCATGTTGAAATGCTGGATTTTCCCCTGCAAAGACCCGAAAGCCGGGTCATTCGGTACTTTCCCTATGTGAGCAGTGTTACCCCAGATAGCTATGCCATGGAGGCCATTCGTATAACGAAAGACTATGTGAAAGACTTTGACTCCATGGCAATTGAACTGTATGTATGTGATCTGAGCGCCATTCAGTAATAATTTGCGCTCAGATCTAAGCTATCTGGGGATATGATGAATGTACCCGTTTTATGCATTTGCTGCACAGTTATATATTTTTATGTATTTTATTGTATTTTGCTACCATGTGGCTAATGGAGCTTTGCCTCTGTCCTTGGAGATAATTGGATTACTTCCCAATTATCTCCAGGATAGAAGAATCTGTGGAACGGGTTTTGGGCAGAAAAACCATGCTTCATTTTGTTAAATAGGACTTTCCCTTAACTTTTTAACCCCGCGAACGGATTGCCCTGATTTTTGAATATGTGTATATTTCACACATGCGGATTCTGAAAATGTATGTTTTATGTGAATGGCATGTATATTTTGGTAGTTATTAATATTTAGTAAAAACTGTATTTCTCTGCCTGTGATAATTGTATTACCCATTGTGTGCAGTAATCATATCACAGGCAGAGGGGAGGATTTTGTGTGGGAGTGTCTGTGTGTGTTGTACGGATTGATTTGTTGTATTTCAAAACCCTGTGGGCAGTACTATGTTTGTGGATTGTGAATAAAAGAGGCTGTATGTGCCAGCACAGTCAGTTCTGCTTGACCCTCAAAACGAAGTGTCATCTCGTTACTGGGGCAATCTCCTACAAGGGATTTTTTATGCTAGTCATACTCCCTTGCTATATCACTACTAAGCTCTTGTAAGAGCTTGTTCCTGTCTTGTGTCTACAGTGGTTATGGTGTCGGCTGGAGTGCTTGGAGCCCTCAGTAAGCACTACGAGCATCCTTCAACGGAGGTACCCAATCTGGGTGCCAGGTGATCCGTTACAATAATTTATAAAATAATCCCGACAGAGTATATTAAAGGACTACCTTCCTATCATTACGTTACACTTGTTTTGACTTCTGCGCAGGCTCCGTGTGTTAGGGAATGGAAACAAGCAGTTGCTTGCTATCCAAGTGCCAGCCCTGCAATGTGCTTTTACAGACCGGAGGGGAGATCAGAGATCTCCCTCCCCAGTCTGCAGGCACTTTGCTGGCAGCAGGTAGGGGTGGAAGAGAGGACCCGGGAGCTCAGCCTGCAGCTCCTCCGGGTCCTTCTCTCGCGAGCACGGAACGTTCCCGCGGTTACCATGGCAATGCTCCGGATCTCGCGAGAGTTCACTCACACCACTGCAACCACCAGTGATTCCCCACCGGACCACCAGTGATTGAGAAATGTAAAGGTAAGAAGGGACGGGGGACATGTGTATTTATTGGACATAGTGTATTTATTTTTGTGGACATAGTGTATTTATTTTTATTAACTTAAAAGCCTCAATACTCTCCTCACCACACATTCACACACTACCCCCCCTACACACATTGCCCACCATACACACACACACTGCCCCAGCACACACATTTCCCCACACACACACACATTGCCCCCATACACATACACTGCCCCCACATACATACACTGCCCCCATACACATACACTGCCCCCATACACACACACTGCCTCCACATACATACACTGCCCCCATACACACACATTGCCCCACATACATACACTGCCCCCATACACACATTGCCCACCATACACATACACTACTGCTCCCACACACATACACTTCCCCCATACACACACATTGCCCACATACACATACACTGCCCCACACACACACATTGCCCCACATACACATACACACACTGCCCCTCATACACACATTGCCCCACATACACATACACTGCCCCCCATACACACATTGCCCAACACACACATACACTGCCCCCTATACACAAATTGCCCCACACACACATACACTGCCTCCTCATACACACACACTGCCCCACATACACATACACTGCCCCCATACACACATTGCCCACACACACACACACATACACTGCCATCCCATACACACATTGCCCACACACACATACACTGCCCCCCCAGACACACATTGCCCCACACACACATACACTGCCCCCATACACACACACTGCCCCCACATACACATACACTACTCCATAGAAACATTGCCCCACACACACATACACTTCCCCCATACACACATTGCCCCACACACACACATACACTGCCCCACCATACACACACATTGCCCCACACACACACATTGCCTCCATACACATTGCCCCACACACATACACTGCCCCCATACACACATTGCCCCCCACACACACATACACTGCCCTCCCATATACACATCTCCCCACAAACACATACACTGCCCCCCATACACACATTGCCCACCATACACACATACACTGCCCCCTCACACACACACTGTACCCCTGAATACACTACCGCCCTTACACACACTGCAACCTTCACACACACACTGCACCGCTCACACACTGTCCCCCTCACATACACACATAAACTGCACCCCTCACACACATACTGCCCCCCTCAGGGCCGGAGAGGGTGTGTTTTGTCATCACTAATGACAAGCACGCCCCCTCTCAAAGTGAGAATGTTAGTTTAATGCGCAGAGCCCTGCTGAAGAGCTCTAGCATGGGAAAAAGGCCCTGAATTTGTTCTGCGCAGCGTAAGCAAATTTAATAACATTCTTGTGCTGTGTTTGCTTTTAAGTTGTCTCTGGTGTCTCCATAAGTGGGATACCAGAGGACAAAAGGGCCTGAAAAGCGTATGGTGCATGTGTTGTGGGAGTGTGTGTTGAGTAAGCTGATTGTGGTGTGGTATTGTGTAAATAGGTCAATTTAATTCGTGTTTGTGGTGTAATATGTGTGGCTAGGGGCTGTAGCGAGTGTTTATAGGGGGCATAGTGTGTATAGGGAATGTAGTGAGTGTGTACATACTGGCTGTAGTGTGTGTAGGGGTTGTAGAGAGTGTGTGTTTAGAGAATGTAGTATGTGTATAAGGAATCCAGAGTTTGTATGTCAGGAATGTAGTGTGTGTAGGTGGTGCAGTGAGTAGGGGATCTTGTGAGTAAAGGACCCAGAGTGTGTATAGGAGATTGTGTGTGTGTGTATAAAGGATTCAGAGTGTATATAGGGTAAGGGATCTAGAGTGTATCTGGAGCGTAATGTGTGTAGTGGAGTTGTAGTATATAATATTGTAACGCGCTACGGAATCTGTTGGCGCTATATAAATGGCAATAATAATAATAATATTATGCATGCTGCACCCTTCACACATACACACAGCACACCCAACACACTGCGCCCTTCACACATACAATACGTCCAAACACTTACATATATAAATATGTGCTGTGTGTATGTGTGAAGGGTGCAGAATGTGTGTGAGGATTGCAGTGTGTGTAATTTTTTTTTTGTCTGTTAACTTACTGAGGGTTATTTTATATATTATACATATGTGTGTGTGTTGTATATGTGTGAGAGTGTGCTGTGTGTGAGTGTGTTGTGTGATTTAAGGTGATGTGTGTGTCTGAGGGTCAGTGGCATACACATGACCCATGGGGCCCCAGTGCGAAAATTGATCTGTGGGCCCCTCCCCACGCTTACTCGGCGCGGGTCGGGGCCGCAACACATGGCGGCGGGCACCTGGTCGCAGGGGTTGCAGGGCTGCAACCCTGCGACCGCGGTATGCACACACACTTAAAGGACCACTACAGACACCCAGATCACATCAGCTCAATGAAGTGGTCTGGGTGCCAGGTCCCTCTAGTTTTAACCCTGCAGCTGAAAACATAGCCTGTCTCATTGACAGCCGCTAGAGGTGCTTCCACGATTCTCACAGTGAGAAGACACTGAACGACCATAGGAAAGCATTGAGTAATGCTTTCCTATGGGCGGTTTAAATGCGCGCGCCTCTTGCCGCGCATGTGCATTCGGAGCTGAGAGGCGGAGGGATCCCCAGCGCCAAGGGAGTCCGGCGCTGGAGAAAGGTAAATGCTGAAGACACACACACTCTCACGAACAGACGCATACACACTAGCTAACAGACACACACATTTACTGACAGAGACACACTCAGCGACAGACATACATACACACTCACTTACAAAACATACACTTTCACTGACAAACACACACTCACTAACAGACATCAAACACACTCAGTAACAGACACACACAGTAACATACTCACTGACACTCACTAGCAGACACACACCCAATAACAGACACACTCACTACCAGACGCACACACTAACACAAACACACACACTAACACTAACACACACTAACACACACACTAACACACACTAACACACACACACTAACACCAACACTAACACACACACTAACACATACTATTACGGTACCTCCAGTAATAAATGTGCAAACCGCCGTTTAGTGAATGCTCCCTGTTCGCAATAATGTGGTCCGGTAGCGTGTACAGTATAACCATGCAAACCGCCAGCTAGGGAACACTCCAAACTCCCGAACGGTACCTGTATGGCTCTTTCCCTTCACAAACTCCAAATCCACGAACTGACAATATTACCTGAACGCCAATATCTTCCAAGCGGCAAATAATTCCAATAAGCAGTCTCTAGGCGCCGGTAATAAAATCCCCCCAATAAGAGACCAAGCTCCGCTTTGAGGGTAAAACACGAACTGATTTACTGTGGGCTACCTGCCCGGTATTTATGCAGGTCTCCCACTTGGTGGACACTCCCCTAGGGGACCAAATCGGAGACTGAAATGACAGAAGGACATGGGGACATTTCAGACATACATCCCCACAATATTCCCAGCATGCATCACAGTTCCCTCCCCTCTGCTCGGGAGATAATTGGGAAGTAATTCAATTATCTCCCCGAGCAGAGGCAAATCACCATTTTAACTCAAAGTTATAAAACACATTAAAATATATAACTTTCTAATTGCCGAACATATTGTATTCGTGTAACACATCCCCAGATAGCCTGCATCTGAGTGCATATTATTGGCAAATAGCGCTCAGATCCCATTCGCGTAGTTCAATCGCCATGGAGTCAAAGTTTATTACAGTTCTTCGGTATGCGATTGACTCCATGGGAAGGCTATCTGGGTTAAGTCCATTCGTGTTGTTGAATCTCCCAAACGGCCGGCATTCGTATGCTTTTGTCGATTGAGAAGGGGAGGTCGACGGCTTCAGCGGTGTTCGGTTGAAAAAGTGTCCGTTTTCAGTTCCATGAAATAACCGTTGAACACCGCTGGTCTTTCGCATGGTTTAAAATGGCCGCCGCCTCGTGGTCGACATACGAATGACGACCACCCGGTATTCGGTTTTAATTGAGAAGTGTCTGTGGTTAACCGCAACGTTCTAATTGGGATCAATAGGTTAACCAGCAGCACAATTCTCTTCTGGGTGGCGTCCGTTCGGTAGTTTCGTTCGACAAAAAAAAGACATTCCCTTAAACAAAGCATACGAATGGGGAATTCATGCAAATGGCAAAACAGACGAACACAGTACTTTTAGTCCATACAGATGGGTCTGTCACACATACACACTTACACTAACACACACTAACTAACACACACACACATTTTTTTTTAAATTTAATCCCCCCAGCCTCCCTACCTTTTGGAGAGTTGAAGGGATTCCCTGGGGTCCAGTGGGGCTGCTGGGCTCCTGGGCGGCCAGTCCTGCGGGCGGGCAGCCGGGCGCGCGAAGGAGCACTCTGCTCCGAGGGCTTCCTATCAGCTCCCTCACGCGCCGCGTAGGGATGCCGGCGCCGGAAGTTGACGTCATCTTCCGGCACCGGTATCAGTGCGGTGTGCGAGGGAGATGAAGAGGAAGCAATCGGAGCAGAGTTCTCCCTCGCGCGCCCGCCTGGCCGCAGGCCTGGCCGCCCAGGAGCCCAGCAGGGCCAGCTTCGGGGGGCCCCCAGGAGAAGAGGCTGGCCCAGTGGGTACATACCGGGTCGCAGGGTGGCCGGGCCCCCTGGTGTACGCCACTGCTGAGGGTGCTGTGTGAGTGAAGGTGCTGTGTGTGTGCTGTGTGTGAGTGTGTTGTGTGACTGAAGGTGATGTGTGTGTCTGAGGGTGCTGTGTGAGTGAAGGTGCTATGTGTGTCTGAGGGTGCTGTGTGTGTGTGTCTGAGGGTGCTGTGTGTGTGTCTGAGGGTGCTGTGTGTGTGTGTGTGTCTGTGGGTGCTGTGTGTGTGTATGTCTGAGGCTGCTGTGTGTGTGTGTCTGAGGGTGCTGTGTGCTGTCTGTGTCTGAGGGTGATGTTAGTATGAGTGTGCTGTGTGTGTTTGAGGGTGATGTTAGTATGAGTGTGCTGTGTGTGAGTGTTCTTAGTGTGAGTGTATATAGCACAGTGTTTGTGTAAATATATTTTGTTTTTTTTCATTTAAAAAAACTAAAAACTATGTATCCCCTCCCCCTCCCTTCTTACCTTTAGCCTGGGAGGGGGAAGGGGGGGAGGGGGAGAGCCGGGTTTCCATTGAGGAGGGTGCCGTACTGCCTTCCCTGGTGGTCCTAGTGGTGAGAGTGAACTCTAGCCTGCAGGCTAGAGTTCACTTTCGCGAGATCTGAGTGTTGCCATGGTAACCGCGGCAACGCTCAGACCTCGTGAGAGGACTCGGCGGAGCTGCTGGCTAGAGCTCCCCGGGTCCTCCCTCCCCAGCTGGCGGCCGCATCTCAGTACCTGTGGGCCGGTGAGGGAGATTTTTGATCTCTCCACTGGCCCATGGAGGCACACAGCAGGGCCGGTGCTCAGATCTCCCCTGCCGCCCTCGGCCCACGTCCATACACTCACATACACTCACAGACACTGTGACACACACACACTGCAACCTTCACACACACACACACTGTTCACACACACACTGTCCCCCTCACACACACACACACACACACACTGCACTGCTCACACACTACACCCCCCACACACACACACTGAACCTTTCACACACTGCACCCCTCACACATTGCACCACTCACAAACACCACTGCTCCTATGCCCTACTACAGCCCCATATCCCAGCAGACCCCAGGTAAGTTGTCAAACTGTTCTTAAACGGTTTGACTACTTACTCTGAGAGGGGGTACCGGCACTCCTGGTACCATAACTACTACACAGAGCTGTAGTGGTTATTGTACCTGGATTATTTCTTTAAATAATCTACAAGTGCCCCTCCCGAGATCAGGCTCTGGATCCACTTTTTTCTCTAAAATGCTTTAATACTGTAGTTCTTCTCACTCATTATACAGGAATAAAAATCAAATGAAAATGTATATTACAGAATGACATTGAGAAGATGCTGAAGTCTCTGGAAGAAATCAGCATCACAAGAAAAATTTAAAAGTTACAAGATAAAGATGCAAAATCACTGGCAAACAGCAGTTTTCACACCATCTCAAATCAGTTCTAGAATCAGCATAACACTAATCCCTTAATAAACGTATCAACTTCAAAATATATAAAAACATAATGTCACAAACATATAACACATAGCAAGACTTAAAATCTTCCAACACTGCATGTAATGCTGACTATACTACAACACTGGAAATAAACAGATACGGAAACACAGCATGTATGTGGGCCTTGACTGTCTTTACAACAAATCTTCAGCTGTCAGTTTAAAAAGGGCAAATACACTAGAAAATAAATATACTCCTCTATTCACACACTGAGGTTTATTCGTTACACGCGGGATTGGAGAGAAATAAAGTCTGAATGTCAAAACTGAGGCTAAAAGAATTAACCGAGTTATAGGATCACCTAATTGAGCTGCAACTCCATCCTTCAAATTTTAACACAATATGTCATTTAGTAAATAAACACTCGAGAACCATAACCACTACAGCACACATTTTTGCTTGGCCACCTAAAAATCTTAGGAGTGAGGTATACAGAGCCGGATTTACATGTTCTGCGCCTGTAGGTAAAAATAAATTCTTAAGCATCCCCTGCCTCCCAATCCCCAAATAAGACAGATAAATTAAAATATAATGTTGTTATTAACTGGACATTTCGGGCCTAAAAACATCTAAAAATAAAACATACTGTATATGTATTAGACACGTGCAATTCACTTCGGTCCAAATGTGAAATCGGACAAATTTCGTGTAATTTGGACATTAGGGTGCTTCCGAATGTCTTTTCTTACCCGAATTTCTAAACCGAACCGATTTTTGGATCATGCACATCCCTAATTTGTATACATGTATGTACGTGCATATTTGTGCTCTGCTTGTAATGTATTGTGAATCTTCTATGTATGTAGCTGTGTAAATGCATGCAGGGTTAAATATAATGCTAGAAGTGATTATGGTATTGAGGTGTTTAAGGTTAGAGAGGGGTTAATGTCAGAGTTAAATTACTTTGGGTGTTTAGTGTTAAAAAGATTAACAGACTGCGAGGAGTTAAAGTTGTAGTATAAGGGCTGTTTAAAATCATTGAGTTCAGGGCTAGAGCTGAGTTTGGCTTTCAAGAGAAGTTAAACATAGGATTCAGATAAAAAGTTTATTTTCTGGTTTAAGCTTTGAGTTCTGGAGTTTGAAGGGTTATTTACAAAGTCCTCACCCTGCTTTGTCTTCTATAGACCATTCAGAATGATGATATTAGAGCTGCAAGAGCTGCTATACAGTATGAATCACTCAGTTCTGTCTCTGCTCCTCCTACAAGGCGTTTCCTGTGTGAGAGGCTCTTAGTGGACAGATAGGAAGTGATCCCTTCCACTTCCTGTCCAGACTCACACTGCAGACACTGGAGGAGCTGAGACACCACTGAGTTTTACACCTTCTATAACTGTTACTGCAGCTCTGCTATTAAGGCTGACTGGACTACAGATGACACTGGCCAAAGTATCTGGTGCTTATCTCCCCACCAGCCTATTTAAGCTCAAAAATTCACATTATAAGGCAGAGTCTGACCTTTAAGCCAACCAGACATGCTCAACACGAGCTTCCATGTCGGGTGTTGAATATCGGGGTGCATAACCTAACCACTCGCTCCTACAGACTGAAACCTACTCAGCTCTTGTCCAGTGAACATTGCTGAACCCGGAGATACCTTACTCGGGCTTCTCCAGCCCTGGAATGTCCCTTTGTGGCTTGCGGCCTATGCAAGCTTAAACCCCACGGCACTCCTGGCTGAATTAAGCAGACGAAGTGCCTCCGTGTAT